TTTTTTTTTTTTTTTTTTTTTTTTTTTTTAATATGATACAGATGCTCACTTAGCAAAAATTTCCAGTCTCCTGCAGTTGTCTCAATCACATAATATGGTCATGGCCAGGGCTCTTTGGCTGTTCTGGCCTCCCTGTGGCTGCTGGAAGAAGCTTTAATCCAATCTCTGTGATACCAAAAGGGTTAATTCAATTTTTACTGTGACTGAGAACTTTCCAGCAGAGAAACAAAGCATGCAAAATCTGCTTTCCCAGSAAGGATGGCTGGAAGATAAGAGGAAGACATCTGGCTCAGGAATGCAGGCACAGCCAAAACAAGGCCTTAATCTGGGAATTTGGGGAGGATTTTTTGGTAATTTGCAAATTGTAATATGCATGAAGTGACTCCATATAAGCAACACACTTGTAAAGTCACATGGGTATGTAAGGTCAGGCATTGTCCCCATGTTACCCGAATAAATGATGCCCTTCTTAACACTAAATTGGTGTTAAGAAGTCTTAATCCTGGTTTTCAGATATTTGGTAACATCTGCAGCATTCACAGTGTGCCCTAGGATCCTRCTGCCTGCAAATCTAGTCACTCACTTCCACTGCTGCCCTTAATRYTACTCATCTGTCAYATGTTCATATAAAGAGCAGCCACCACTGGCTCCAGAAGAGAGACTGAGGAACAATCTGACTCTCAAAGCATTAAATCTGCAAACATAACAATCCAAGAGTAATAAAAATGACCCAASTTATATTCAAACCTGCTTGTTAAAAACCCAGGGTTAATGCCCCATCTTATGTAGGAAAAAAGCTGGGAGATAACAAACACAAACTGACTGGCACTGTCCAGTGTGGGTTAGCCTGAAAATCTCTTTTCATTCACTTTCTTTCTTCTTTTCAACTTGGAGCTGGGACATGGCCATGTTTTGGATGAGGCATGTGAATGCTGGCATCACAAGGGTGTTCCAGAAACTGATTTACTCACTGGGCACATGCTGGGGCCCCGTTGACTTCTATCAGCCACACCTTCAGCTCCTCATCCACCATGAAGTCGAAGCCAAAGAGCTGGAAGCTCTGGTAGTGAAGATGCTTCGTGCTGATTGCAGGCTCTATACACATAAGGCAGCTTCTGGGCAGGGAAAAGCACAAACTCCAGGTTAAGACCTGACTGCAGCTTCTGAGGGCACAGGCAGTGCACAGTTAAGTGAGAGGATTGCCCTGGAACTGCCCCAAATTACATCCCCCACATGCCATGTTAACCAGGTYCCTGCAAGTGAGATCCTGTGACTGTGAAAAAACACATGGGGACACCCCTGAGTTCACTCACAAAGAGCTGGGGAGAAGCATCCTCCTCACTACTGGGTCAGGCAAGCTGGAAAACACCACATGCAATGCCACAGAAGTCCCCAAGGAACTGCCACTGGACATTCAACTGCCTCCAAATCCCTGAAAAATTATGCCATGTCTTTTTAGTGCAATCAGCAGCAATGGGGTACTTGCAAAGTGAATTCTTGCATGAAGGACTGCGTATTCAAGACCTGGATTCTCTGAGGCACTGAGATCTCTCCCAGGCACTTCCTATGCCCAAGAGGGAACAGCTCCTTGTGTACTGAGCAAGATCACCAAGGCAAACACCATGTGCTGCTGCCTGCTGGAAGCTGCAGTGGTCTGAAAACTTCATTTCCCCTCCAGACCCTCATGTCTTTCCTTAATCTCAACCTCTCCCACCCCCATCCTTGGACCTGCTCTATTTCCTTTTCCCTCCATCCTTCTCCAGCCACAGGTGGAAAAACACAGACAGATGGACAGATACCACTGAGGCAACAGCACCCATGGAGGTGCCTTGTCATTGAGCAGTGACATTAAGTATTTATGGCCTCATCTTAAATTTATGCAATTGAAACCCTTCCCTTCTTGGTCTGTCTGCTTCCCCAGATGCATTCCCTGTCACTGGAGAGTTATGTTCTCTCTGGCAGCAGGGACTGGCTACCTTATTATGTTTTTAATTTGCAGTAAGATGCTATCCTCAAGCGTTGTGTTCAGGGCATCCATCAGATACTGGTTGAACTCCTCGAAGAACATCTCATTCCCTTCCTCATAGCGCCCGTAGTTTTTGGAATACTCCTTCTGAATGCAGTGATTGGTCAAGTGGCAGGTTTTGTCCTGGAAATTAGCACTGTTGTATGGTTCGGAAGAGGTCCGCAGGACACCCTCTCTGTAGAGGTAGATATTATATTGATGATCCACGAGAACCCAGCTCCTGGGGGGCAGGAGAACAAACTCTAGTCTCAGTGGCTCAAAAGGAAACAGCAAGAAAAAGGAAATTGGCATTACAAAGGCAGAAGAGATTACCTGATGTCAAACTTGCGATGCCCTGGCTCTAAAAGTAGAGGATTTTCCAGGTATTTCTGAATCACGTGCACTTGTCCCTGCTCATCGATGAAGTCCAGGAGCTCTGCAGCCTCCGAAGAAATCAGGATCCCTTCCCCTGGCACAGAAAATTGAAGATAAAATTCAGTAGAGGATCCCTTTACATTTGTTGGAGCTTTTTCAGGCCCTAAGAGSACCATGGCTCAGCCCAAAAAGCCACATCCAAGAACCTATGGCCCCAGGGATGGCCAGTGCCCAAGCAATGCCACATCCACTCCCTGGGAATGAACCTGTAGAGGAATCTCCTTCTTACCCTGCCACAGGGCCTGTGGGTCCCCAGTAACCAGGCCCAATGCAAATGGGAATCAAAGGCACCTGATATGGCACAGCCTGCCCAGGGCAGGTCTGCAGGGGGGTGACTGTTGAGGTGTGAGGAGAGGCACAGCACAAAGGGACCTGGGCAAGYAGTGAGGCAGCTGTGTGGTATAGGAGCATTTTGTTTTCTTTTACATAATTTTTTCCTTCCTATATAGTCTTGGCAGAGGTAAGAGGGTATGGTGGTGGTGCTTGTATTTGGCACCTGGTGAATTTGGTTTTGTTTCTCCCTGGTTTTCAGCACTTTATAGAGAACAGGGGGTTTRGTGTATTTTCTGTAAAGTTTTTTTTGCCTTTTTTTTTAATTTGGGGAGAGAGGTTTGTGCTTTTTTTTTAATCCTAGACTCAAGACTTTCTTTCCTTGTCTGGCTCCTCTGRCTGCCAGAGGCAGTCACACACGCACACTGGTGCAGCATTGCCCTGCTCACTGAGTTCATTTAAGTTATTATTAAAACCACTGCTGAATAAGGAAAAGTACTACTTGAAATTGCTCATCCATGTAAGTCAGTGTGCCTGCTGTGGAAGCTCTTCATTAAAAAAATGAACTGTGATGTTTAAATAYCCCCACATTTTGGCTGAAGCTGTCACTGTTCATTTCTTGCAAGGGTCCAAATATGAAAACTTCTGTTGCAGAGCACTGAAGAGAGACCATTTTCCTTCTGGGATTCCATGAAGGAGTGGCACRGTGCCATGAGGAATAAGCCAGCTCAGGTAAGGTTATCAAACCCTTCTCTGGCACTGGGCCCATCTTTGAAGCATTCAGTCAACTTTTTGGCCTAAACCTGATGACTTAGTCCTAATTTTGTGCTGAGTGTTTTTGAGGAAATGCTGTGCAAAAAAAWCCCACTCTTCAAGGGGGGAATGAAAGGGATAATGCAGGTTTGAGTAATACAGGGTTTGACAGGACCATCCCTTGAAAAATCCTCCCAGCTGTGACTTCTGAAGGTTGCTGTTGACACAGCCCTGCAGCTACTCCCACTGCTCCATGCTCTGCTCAGCCCTCCTGACCTCCCATCCRTCCCAGCACCCTCCACTGAAAGGAAGTCTGTCCTCAAAATATCTTTCTCACCCGTGTTTTATGCAGGGGGCAAGATTTTTCAGTTCCCTGATCACAGCAGAGYGAGGCAGAGCCTTGCACTGGCACAGCTTCAGTCTGTGCACTGGGGGAAGGAGGGGAACAACATCCCTAAGCCAGGAAAGCCTCTGCAATGGGGAGATGAGCAGGAACCTGCTCTACACTGGCCAGATGGCACAGCAAGGGGAGGGTCAGGTTAACTGTGCACCCAGTCAGCAACCCAGCGARGCAGCAAAGCAGCTTATGTGGGGCAGCTGGCCCTGCTCTCCAAGAAAACACCAAAACCTCCAGCAGCAGTTGCAAACCCTTAAACATTTAAGTCAGGGGATCCCAAACCTTTAATTTTCCCGTTACTGATGGATGACCAAGCTTCCATTAGACCTGTCCCAAGAYAGGGGCTGTATTTTTCTCGGTAATTAGTGCAAACAACCTTTCTTCTTCATCAGAAGTAATCCCTGGACATTTAAAACTTCCCTCTAGAAGATTACCATGAGACTCTGCTTTCCATTTTAATTTGCAGCAGTACACTGATGAATACAAAAGGCTGCTCTGCTTCAGTGCAGAAAAGATGGGATCACACTTGCATCAAGTATCTGGAGGGTTTRAATCTCCTCATCCTGAAGCAGACCCCAGCCTTTCCAATTGCCCAGATGGATTTTTTGCCAGTTTACCACACAGAAACACATTCCCTCACTGGCACAACAAAAGGACTCATCTCCCCTTTGCTCCTGATGAAAATAAGGACACTCTTCCAATGCTTCTTGGTGACACAGACTAGAGGACAGAGCAGAGAGGGAAGCCAGTGTGAAGGACAGTTTTATCGTGCAGCCTCCCTGCTGCCACCTCTGGCTTTCACTTTTTTTTTTTCCAAGACTGCATCCAAAGTGACTCTGCAGATATGAATAATATATGTGGGTTTGTTCACTTTGAAAAGACCAGGTCCCTCCTCAGGCTAGGCTCCACTGTGCACAGGGCAAGGTAAGTTTTTAAATACAGCTGTTCTAATAATGTTTCTATAACATTAGAACTGACAGACAGCACACAGTTATCAAAGCATTGCATCTATAGCTGTGTCCAGCTATCTCACAGCTCATTATTTCTGTAGACTGAGTGATGGAATGACCCTGGAACAAAAAAGGACACATTATCACTTGGGTATCTACTGCCCTATTCAGATTAAATGGACAGACAGATATTGCATTGCTTATCTTTGTGTGGTACCTTCCCCTGAGGCTTGGGTGTAATTTTGACACACTGAGCTTGTGACTGCTCAGCCAGTCTCTCAGTGTGACCATGAGCACCAGGCATCTGAGTCTGGCTGAAACACAAGCAGGTTTTCCCCCAGGATTAGCCAAGCTTTGCTGCAGCAWGGGGAGTTGGGTTCCTTGCCCTTGAAGGTTGCTGTCCTGCCTGCTGACCTCCTCTCCTGCTCCCTCTACTCCACTCTCCACCTTCCCCTCACTTTCTGGTCCCTGCTGCCTCTCCCTGCAGCACTTTCCCACATTTTGAGGTGCATGTATAGAGAGGGAGAGGCTCCTTCAGTGCCGTGCACGTTCGAGGCAGCGTGTGCACACCACGCTGCCTGTCAGGAACCCAGTGCTGGCTTGGCTGGTGGGTGAAGCCCTTCACTGACAGACTACAAATCAGCTTGGCTCAGCCAAACCTGAGACTCTCTGGACCATGCAAAGAATGTCAAGGAACAGCTCCAGGTGTTGGAGAACGAACCTTTGGCGCCAGCTGAGGACTTGGCGATCCACACGTTGCCTTCTTTGCCCTCGCGCCGCCTGTTGTAGGCTGCCAGGAACACTTCCCTCTCATCTGTCCTCGAGTTGTTTATGAGATGGTGAATTCCATTCTGTGCTGGAGCCACSGGGGTCTTCAAGTTTGTTGGGTAAATCACATACGACTCAGGGAACCACGTGCAGGACTCGGATAGCTCAGGGCTTGTCTTGATTAGCCTGGGGGAAGAGGGACAGGCTGTAAATCTCTGGGGTGTCCCTACCCGAATGGGATCATTAAATAAGGAAAAAGCAGCATTAACTGGGCTCTTTTGCTTGATGACAAATAGCAGTTCATGGATACTCTGTGCTAAATTATCCTATTTTCCTCAACCTTGAAATTAGGGTTTTCCTAAAGATATCATGGCAACCCGAGCCCCCAGCAAACATCACTCTTTGAACCAGAACCTGCATGCTTTCATTAAATATTTTACTGATACCATGGATATCATGAAACTAACAGCTGAGAAATTTCCATGTACCTAGAGCTTGTGGTGCATTCTCTGCATCACCACATCCCAAGGTGTCCGGGATCCCTCTGGCACATCTCTCCTACCAGTAATGCCTGCAAATTCCTGTTAGCAGAGCCCAGGCCTGTTTTTTTCAGAGTCAAAGGAGCTGCCTGCCTTTCCAAATGCCTGTGCTTTGCTTAAGGCCAAATGCAGAGTTCACGAGGTGCTGCCTCCTTCTGTGCATTTGTGCCTCTCTGTTGAGATGGCAGCGAGTCAGTGGCACTTTGGGAGCCCTGAGGAATGCCATTTGTCGTTCTTTGGGTTCATAAGTAGCTTGACCCTACAGTTAGAAAGGTCAGCCCAGCTTCAGGAGACAAAAACAGGTGCTCAAGTGCTYTTAGCACTCTAGGTAACAGGGCAAAGAGAAATCCAGCTGAGGAACACATGAGTGCTTGTTAAAAAAAAAAACACTGCCACTTTCTGACAAACACCATCATCAGTGCCAGGAAAGCAATTAGGGAGAGGTTCTTTGCAGGGGAAGGAGAGGCCTTGGATCAGCACACACAGTCTGTATCAGCGACAGGCAGCAAAGACTCTATTGGGCAATTGGATTGCTGAAGGAAACCAAGAGCTCTGACATGAAGATACTGTAGAGKGAGCAGAGTCTGCACAGGGATGAGGGTTATCTACAAGGAAATTCATCCCCATTTTCCCAGGAGACYCTGGCATGGCAGGTCATGCAGAAATAACTCCCAGAACTCTTCCTGGAGATGTCTCCAAGCATTTGCTTGACCAACAAATCTGATTAGCTAAAGGCACATTAGTGTCTCTTCTCTGTATGAAACAGAGAATAAAAGGAGAAGGTTTTAATTAAATGTCTACAAGAAAAAAGAGCAGCTATGTTTGGGTTTCTTTTTACTTTTGATTTGGCTCTAATCTGATTCAATACACTCCATGGTTTCAAGTGGATATAAGTCAGTGGAAATGGCATTTCCCCTGAAGCTACAAAGAGGCCTTTTGTGCACACAAACAGCTCTAGAAACCGGCCCAGGAGTCTGATGACAGCACATGAGGACACTCCCAGGGCAGCTGTTCTGTGGAATTCCCTCCAAACAGGTTCAATGCTCGACAGGGGTTASAAGAAAAGCTTCTGCCAAGCCCATCCAACATTTCAGTGAATTTCTTACTTCACCAGAGATGCTTTKCGGCACAGCTTGTCTGCTCCCCTGTAGTAATTCACCAGCTGCACAAGTCCAGGTTCATGGCCTAAGGAGAGGAAACAGAGGTCAGAAAAACTTCTCAATTGATAAAGGGAAAACAGCTGCTTGGTGCAAAGGACTTGTGCAGTAGGGGGGAAAAATGGAGGCTGGTTCCTTGCCCTGCATTACAGAAACAGGTTGTAAACTGGTACTGGCTCCTCTGATTTCTTTCATCTGGTTATAAAAACCCATCTATTTACCCACTTGTTTTTAATCTTGCACATCCATTTTGCAAAGGAAAGTAATTATTTCCTAATTCACACTGAGAACTGGCAGCACCACCCAAAAGTGTTCTCCATTTGCTGTTGGCAGTTTTTAAAAAGCAAGATTTCGGTGACTCTTAAATGCAGGTGGAGGATGCAGGGAAACACACCTGCACATAAAAATCACAGTTTAGCAAAGGGCCCTTGTTTTTGACACATACAGCAGGGTTCCCTCTTGGACCTGATACCCCAAAACACTGGGAAAGATTTGGAGCCTTGCTTCTTTCTAGCATTTTGCAGCAAGGCCTGTTGGATACCTGGGGTGGGAAGGAACCTCTGTTAGTCTCTGCTTCAACCTCTTGTTCAGTCAATGTCTGAGTATCCCTAAGGAYGAAGATCCTACTGCTTCTGAAAGTCCTTGTCCCAGTGCTTGGCTGCCAACCTGAGTCCTCTGGACTATCCTGATGGGCCCTGCTATACTCACTCTGGGGTGTTTTAGCCTTTCTTTCACTGGAAAGTCCCAAAGTGGCCCCAGTATCCATCTGGGGYCTCACCAGTGCCAAACAAGAGTGCTGAACAGATGGGCACCTCCTTACCAACACTGGGCTCCACACWAAGCCTGCCTTCCTTCACCTTTTCACACTACAAGAAACATGTGCACTCAGCCAGAAGCTCTCTGGGAGGGACAAGAATCCTAAAAGAAAGGATTCAGAGTTTTACTTATCCTGCTTCACCTGGAAAAAAAGGCCTGGTGCAAAAGTTACCTCAAACACTAGGCAGCTGAAAGATCATAGAGAGTGAATATCTATTTTCAGCCTGAAAGTCACGTCCCCGACCTGGGTCACTTTTATTCACAAATCTTTAAATACAAGACAGCTGAAAACCCTCCTGCAGAAAAGATCTGTTAACTTCAGGCACTTCAGTGTGCAGCCAGCGTGGCTTTTTTTCTGGCCAGGTTCTTWTTTCCTGAAAAGAAAATAATAAAACCCCCTCATATTTTCTTCTATTTGTAGTTTATCCTAGGGAGACATATCTTCTTTGGTTTCCTGAGCATCACCACGGAGCAGTGGGCAGCAATGTAGAGTTGAGTGGCCAGCAAAAAGGGACCAGGAGGCAGGAAGGGAAACTTCTGGGGCATGTTGYGAGGTCTGTACCATGCATTTAGTGGGATTAAAAAGCTGCCAAGGCACTGACCAAAGTGGCAATCCTTCCCTGGCTGGTAGGGCATGGAGTCCACCATCCTCTGGTACACAAGGCTTCTGCTGCCTCTTCCTCCTTCCCATCCCCTCAGCACAAGCAAGCACAGCTTAAGGGTACAATCCCCCAGGAATCAGGATATCAGGGTGAGCTACAGAGGTCCCTGCAATGGTGAATGCTGAGAGCCCCCACTTCTCTCAGTGATCCAGCTTAGGCCCTGAGTAATGCAAATCCCTACAGTTCCCCGAATTAATGTCAGCTTCCACTGAGCAGAGCCTCAGGAAAACCGAGCCAGCTTTGATGCAACAGTTGCTCAGGAAGATGAACCAGAGAACACAGAGCTTTTTGGAAAGTGTACCAAAATAACYACGTTATTTTCAGTCTGAATCTATCGATTTCAGGCAACCAGTTCCTGCTACAGGAGGATGGTTTAAAGGAGCCAGTGACAAAGCATGGCCCCTCTCCACAGGTTACAGACATGTCTTGGCTGTGAGAAATTATTTGGGKTTTTGGGCATCCCATGGCAACACATGCTGAAGGACTCATTGGAGTGCCCTGGAATGTCTTCCAGGACACTTTTGGAGGATGGAAGGGATTAGTTAGATATGGCCACAAGCCCACCGTGGCTGGATGTTCTGTGCATGCCCACTCTCATCACAGAGCTGCACTCCTTCTGCAGTGAAGCCTGATGCTCACAGGTCCCCCGTGCTGGGAATGGTAAAGCACAGTGTGCCTGCTGCCAGCAGGTGTGAGCATCCTCACCACCTGAGCCTCTCCTGGTGTTTCCCTGCTCCCTGCAAAGACCCTGACAATGGGAGGTGACCAGATGGCATCTCSGTGTGATGGGGACTTTCCACTCCCAAACGTGGAGGAGACAAGGRTGCTGGAGCTGGTGACTTGCAAATCTAGGAGAGCAGTCCAAGATGGATCTCTGCTGCAAGAAAGGGGCTGCAAAACCATTCYGGAGTGAGTGGGTTCTGCTGGTTCTGCTGTTTCTGCAGCCAAAAGCAATGCTGCAAAACCACCCCAGAAAGAAAGAAACCAGGGCCAAGATGACAGTGCATCCCTGCTCCCCGCCACGCCCTGCAACACTGCCTGGCTTGGCTCTCCCTGTGTGTGGGCACTCTCTCTGCCTGCTCCTGGGCTCTGCATCATCCAGCAGGGCAGAGGGCCAGGGTGGCAGTGCCATGGGACAGGCAGTGTGCACGGCAGGCAGGGGACAAACCTGCACAGGCCAGCTCCCAGGGCCTGGCAGGGTGACAACGGGGGTCAGGCAGCAGGGGAGAAGGTGATGGGACAGGGGRTACATGGGTCCCTACACACACAGAGCCTCTGGAATTACCCACACCCTGCTCCACACAGGGATTGAGTGCCACCCTCCCCAAACCCTGCAGAGGCACATCCCCGCCATCCTCAGCTCTGGAGCGAAGGTTTGAGCGTGCCTGCCTTAGACTGCTCTGCCTCCTGTCTCAAACAGCAGRAACACCCCCAGAACACGTAAGCTGAGCACTGCAATGTCCCTGCCCAGCACCAGGCAGGGGAATGACACCACCGCGACCCCACAACCCTGGAGCCCCCGCAGCGGTGCAAACAGCCCCAAGGACACTGCTGCAGGGCACGGAAAGCAGCCCGGCGAGCAGGGGCTGAATCCAAAGGAAGAACCGGGATTCTGGGGTCTGCCTCATGTCACAGGGGGTCCTCGAGTGACCCCTGTCCCCCACGCCGCCCTTCCCACTGCTTCACCGCAGCCCAGGCCTTAGAGGGTGTTGGGGGGCACCGGTGAAGCCGCTCCCCGGGAGCTTGGGAAGGCGATCCTTCCTTCGAGCCCTGCCGGGCGGCTGCACAGAGACCTCACGGTGCCTGAGCTTTGTTTGGGCGCCGGAGGCCGGGCCGGGCACGGAGCCGCAGTGACAGGGAACCGCGGTGTGGGGACAGCGACAGGGCGGCGAGCGGGACCGGCGGCACCGCCTCCCGAGCAGCGGGGACGGGAGAGGCTGCGGGGACCCGCGGGGACASCGGGGCGGGGAGACAGCAGCGGCAGCGCAGGGGAGCAGCGGGAGCCGGGCCCTGCCGCCGGCGGAGAACCCTTACCCAGCCTGCCGAAGGGGAGCCGGTTCCTCTCGCCCAGCATCAGGTTGAAGCGGGGGTTGTCCCTGCGGAGGCGCCGCCACTGCCCGCTGGCCAGCAGCAGCCGGCTCACCTCGGTGTACACGCTGCTGCCCTCGTCCCGCACCACGAAGGTGTACATGGCGGCGGGGCGGCGGGGAACGGGCTCCCCGCCCTACCCCCGGCGCCTCATGGGGCCCCGCCGCAGCCCAGCCCGGGCCCTGCGCGGCCCCCGCCGCCCGCCCSGGCTCCGCATGGCCGGGGACACCGCCCCCGCTCGCCGCCCCACAGCCTGCCCAGGCGGGGACTGACCCGGAACCAGAACCGCCCTCCCGATCCCCAGCCTGATCCCGCTCCCGCTGCCGCTGCTCCCCGCCCCGTTACGCCGTGCAGCCGCCGGGGGTGGGGCCTGAGGCGGGCGTTCGCAGCGGGGCGGGCCG